TGGAATTGGAAGAGTTTTAATGTAAGTGAAATTTTTGATTGGAAGAGTTTTAATTGTAGTGGGAAGTGTGTGAGGAGTGTTAGTTGAAGTAAGGTGTGTAAGGAGTGTTAGTTGGAATTAACTTCTTGTTTGAGGAAAATGTGGGAGTGTTAGTTGGAGTTAACTTATTGTTTGAGGGAAACGTGGGGGTGTGATGTGCCCATGATATTTTTTACGAAATAAATTAAATGTAAAATGATAAAAAAATAGAGTTGAGAGTGGGAAGGTTTGTTGCTAAAAATCTCTTCTCAAATCTATATAGATATAGATATTCAGTATAGAGCATTACATTTAAATTTGAACTTTATCAATTTACTCCATGAATTTTCATTAATTAACATGTTTATTTCTTTTAATTTCTCTATAAAAACTTGTTTTAATAATAACTCATTATAGTTTCCTTATATATACTGAATGTCGTTATTATAACTTTAATGTATTCTTACATTAGTTAAGGTAAGGAAACAAATATTTGACAAATAAAAGGAAATTTAATCATATTTATAATTATGTTTATACGTGATTGACTTGATGTATTAGTTAAAAACAAACACCTAAAATTTTCATTTTTTTCAAAGCAAGTCAATTTTTTTCCATTACAATTACATTATGTTTTGATTCATAATCATTAGATACATTTATTTTAAATTTGCGATTTAGATTATTTATGATTATTAATTTGTCTATTGTTCTTAATCTAAATTTGTGTCTTGGAATTTTTATGTTATTTGTATAGGGTTAATGTCTATATGTTGAGTTTAGTTAATATTTTTGTTTAGATTGGTCATTTTTTGAAAAACAAGTTTTCATATACAATATTACAGTAATATACAAATAAAAATAATTTCAAAAACACCAAAAATACAGAAAAAAAAAATCAACCTAAAAAATACGGAAAACAACTTCAACAACACTAAAAACATAAAAAAACAACCTCAAAAAGCAAAAAAAAAAACTTCATCTACAGTAAAAGTTTTTTACCTACATTATTACAGTAAAATATTTAAAAAACAACGCAAAAAACAACCAATCCAAACAGAGCTATATCTTTGCTTCGTGAGTTAATTTTCATCATTTGCTTTATATTTTATTTCTTATTATTAACAACATTTAATGTTTAGTTATCATCTATTAGATTTTGATTTTAAAGCTTTGATATTAGGTTAGTGAACTTATCATTTGTTTGATAATTTTGATAATTTTTTGTTACTCGTTGTTTGCCCACACCCCCAAAACCAAAATCCTACGTACGTCGCTGCCTCCATCTCCAACTCCACTTGTAGCACATTTGTTTGGGACTTTAAAGTGGTCTCAAATACTGGGGGCTTCTGTTGTCCTATCATCTCAGAGCTGGTCGTTAAAGCGAGATCTTTCTGATTTTCCTTATTAATAAATTAAATTTATTACTCTACTATGTAAATATGCACTAACAATTATTTCTCTACATTATATTCATGATACCTGAATTTTTTGTTAACGAATATTCAAAGAAACAAAAAAATTAGCTTAAAAGAATCAAGGATGGGAGGCTTAAATAAGTTGTGTTTACAATCTATTGAACTAACTGTCTTGCACTTCTATGCTCAATCTTTATGTTGCTTTAGTATAAATGCGCGCGCGCAGCACTACTTAGAAACCATTTTGCTCATCGATGGATAAAAGTAGACATTTCGATTTTGTTTGATCACTTGGCTCCATATGGATTGTGACTCGAGAATTAAAGAGTTTGAATTATAACTAATTACACGGAAATCATACCAGCAGAACTGTCTGGGGTTATGCTTCATTAACGTAGGACTGATATTAATTTTGTAGGAAATTAACCCACAGAAATAAACAAATAACAAAAGCAATCTCAAGGAAAAACATCACCACCCTGTTAAGGTTATAAAATTTTAATTATACCACAGAACATAGCTTTCTCAACTAAGGGTCTGTTTGATAACATAAAAAAGTGTTGAATCTGAATTTTTTCAGACATTCAGATGTTTTGATTGTTTGATAAATGAAAATCTATTTGCTGAACTTGTTAAGCAGTGCTGAACCTATGTGTATTTTTTTCAGCACAAGAATCATAACTGAATACTTAATTTTGATAAGAATCAATAGAATTACTTCAACTACCTTATCCTATCTACCAAATCTACCATTGTTTGTTAACTATGTTCAAAATTCTTATGTAATTAAACAACTTAATATTCTCTATCTAACGATTTTTAGTTTCTCTTTTCTCCTTTTCCCTTTTTTAATGACTTTCACATCTTCTCCATACTACTCATATAATATATTTCATCTTTTATATTAATTTGATTTAAAAATAAATATTGTCATTTTCATACCTAACAATTTTAAACTAATTAAATCATAGATTCTATTTCTTTTTTTAATGAAAGGATATAAGGGCAAAATTGTCAAATTAAACTTATTAAGCATCAGCTATAAATATTTATTAAACAATATAAATAGGTTTAGCATTAAAATTCAGACATTCATATATTTTTTTCAGTACTTAAAATTCAGCAAATTAATTGTTTCAGTATTTAGATTTCAGAATTCAGACTTCAAAATTCATATTCAGTTTTATCAAATGGAACCTAACTAAGGTTTAAAAAAAAGAACGGCTAAACTAAGACCATTATGTTTTACGACAACATTAAGTAAATGTGAATGCACCTTTTTATTGACAAATAAAAACGAATACAAATTTACTCTTTATTGCAATTTTTTTTTCGGACACGATGGATTTACACCTACTCTATATACTATGGACAGAAGGGTAATTTAATGAAACCAAGGAGAATCCAGAGGAATTGAACCACTACTGATCTAGATGAGTGCCTACGCACCTGCTAGTGAAATATTTTAGAAAACCTTTTTAGAATGCAAATTAAGGAATTCGATCCCTTAACTTACATCTAAATAAAGTTTTAAAACTCTTTTTGTGGCCGAATTATTTTATAGTAGTTGGTTTTATTCTTTATTGCAAACGTGTTGCGTTATTTTTCGAAATCAACATTTATCTGCGACATCGATGGATGACCTGATAAGCACGGGACGATGAACATGTTCGCTTCACGTACTTCCTCACGCTCCCAGGGCATCTGCTAGCAAAAGTGAAGATAGGGCTTTGTCCGTTTTCATTTGTATTGTAGCTATACGTTACACCCTTTATAATAATAATAATAATAATAACGCTTTCCTTCGCATCCGGCCAAAAAGAATAATGCACTATCATTTTTTTTTTCCTTTTCTTTCTTTTTATTAATTACTAAGATGTTGGTTTTGTGATGGGCTATTGTTTGAACTTTGATGGTCAACTCTTTGAGTCTGTAAATAGTTGCTTTTATGAATGAATCTTTGTTTGCCAAAATATAATCAATCGCTTGCAAGTCCTTGATTATGATAAATAAATAAATAAATAAATAAATATATATATATATATATTGGTAAGGAAAATATTATTTGTATTTTATTTTTTTGTTATTTGCACTTCCACCACTTGTTCTTTCATATAATCTAATAAATGAAAATTATATAATTAAAATGATAATTAGAATGTGATTAATAAAAAAAGAAGTATAAATAACATTTTCCTATTGATGATCCCATTTTATTGTTGTTTTGCATGCACAATAACAAAAGCATGCATTTTTGTGAGAATTTTAAATTACTACCCAACCCTTTTTTTCTATTAAGTGTAAATTGGAGGATTTAAATTTGAAATCTATCACTTATACTCCAATTTTCCCGAACTATACAATCCATCCCTCCCTCCTACTACTGGACCCTTGAATTGCCACACGTTAACCAAATAAAAGTTGCCTTTTTGTGGGAAAAATTGCAGCGAACTCTTTTTTTTTTTTTTTAAAAAAATCTTTGTAATATTACGGCACATATTAGAGTACAGAAGAACCCAGTCCATGTTGTTTTAAAGAGTGGTCATCCATTTGTTTTAGCTTGTAGCTTTTTGAAAGATCGTATTAATAGCATGTTTGGATGGTAGATTATTTGGGATAGTTTTTTGAAAAAAAAAATTTATTGTATTTTTAAAGTATAATATATGTGAGATAAAAAGATGATTAAAAAATGTGTTAACGATGCAAACAAATAAAATCTAACAAATAGTTTACTATCCAAACAATTTTACGAAAAGTAGGTATCGTAAATTGATTCTATCTTTTAAGTACAATTGTAACTGTAATTAATTCAGAATTTTAAGTTTTCATGGGAATGAAATAACACTTACTTTAGATGTTAAATGATCATATTTTTTTAAGGTATAATCATCTTAGTTATTTTTTTTAATAATCAAATTGTACTCCTAATCGCTTGTAGATCAAGTCTGCTTATGTATCTTGTATTAGATCAATTGTTCTGCTAAATTCTGTCAAGATAGTTTTTTTTTCCCTAATTAGCAAGATATGTATACTATATATCACACACTAACCTACGATTCGAACGCTAACGAATATCGAAGGAGACCCAAGAATGGGGCTATGGAAGTAAACCCCACGGCCAATTCAGCTGGCGCACCACCACGCTGTCCTGAGGCCCCTAACCTGCATCCGGTGGCCAACTCACACAACGGAGTCGGCCGCCACAGTACCAGTCTTGGATTGGGCCCGAAGTTCATGTGCTCCTGTCCAATTCACGAAGCCCGGCCACAATGAGTATCACTGCTTCAGGCTTAAGGTCATTAGCCATTTAGCCGTCTGCCACGTCTCACCTCTGGTGAAATTTGTGATTTCAAATTTTAAAAATTTCGAAGTCATTGGTTCAACCGCGCTTTCTAACCCACTTTTCCGTTCTCCAAATATTTTTTTCCCCATTTTCTGGCGCCGGCCATCAATAATTTCCAAGACATATTTTTAGTATCAGAAGGCCAAAACGACAACATTCCATCTGCATCAGTGTCGTTTTCCTCTACCCGACTAATCCGGCATTGTAAAGTCACACAGGGGCAACCCAGTCCAATGACTTATTTCGGAACAGACGAGAGCGAGACTGTAAGTAAACACCCCAACAGGAGAGGAGGGTGAGTATTCCCAACCTTCAAAAAAAATAAAAGAAAAAAGACCAATAACCAACGGAAAAAAGAAAAAAGAGAAATTCTCAACGGCCGATGGCTGGGACTATTCCAATCGCCATGGAAGAAAATGAGGTAGCATAATTTCGCGTGATCAAATTTCTTTTTTCTGTCGCCGTTTTTTATCTGTGTTATGTTATGGATTACAAATTTAATGTAGAAAATGGTGGCGTTGAAGAAGGCTTACGCGGAGATGATACTGAATACGGCGAAGGAGGCAGCAGCTAGAGTAATGGCGGCGCAGCGGAAGGCTAAAATGTTTGAGCACGATCTGAATCGCACAAAAGAGGAGGCACTTCGGATGCTTCTTCGCTTCAAGCAGATGCTCGAAGACAAGGTTCCCTTTGTTTTCAAAACTTCTTCATTCCAAATATTTGAATCCCAGTCCTATCATCAATTTTTTTCCCTTCTTTATTATTGTGGCATTTCGACTATTCGAGCGCGTCGGAGTTTTGTTTAAAATGTTGTTGGTCGTTCATTTTTTCTTGTATAAAGATCAGTATTTGGTAATTTGTACAACTGTTCTTTTTCTCCTTTTCTGAATCTCAATAGAAAGAGAGCGACTCATTGGCCTTTCCTCCAATATCATCGTGTGCTATTTAAACCGGAAAATTTGTTAAATTCTTACTATCGTGAGTTGTTGCCAGTTAAGAGAATAAAGGAAAATGTCCTCCTCACATCTCTTGTGTCCAGCTTGTTGCGCTATCATGGTAGTAGATAGCAAGGATTTTTGAAATTTATGGCATGCTATGCACCATCATATTTCCTGTTTTAATTTTTTTTTCTTTTAGGATTGACTTTACTAACAGAAATAAAAAGAGGTTCGTTAAGCAGGAGGATCCTTTAATAACGTTATTAAGCAAATTTTTTTTTTTTTTAAATAGCACACGTATTTTGTGCTGCTACTGCCATCAGGCTAGGCTAAACAGAGAAGTTAGCACCGAATTTTTGTGTTGACACCTATAGTGCTGCTCTACAACTGCTCTTTCTTCGTGTCAACTGTCTTTGAACAATAACCACTACTCCTTGCATCTGTGCCAAATTGGCTGCTATCGTTGTCTTTCTCTGTGGTAATCAGCTTGCATTCATTCTTTCTGTTTTTGGCAGAATGCAGAAGCAGAGGTTGCATCCTCGAATCAGCAAAGGAGGATTCAGGAGCTTGAGTTACAGCTTGATGAAGCGGAAGGGCTGATACTCGACCTTAAAACTAGACAAGGTTCACGAACAGTTAGATAATGCAAAAAGTAAGCCCGTGCAATCTTTGAGACCAAATGAAATGGTTGACATGTCTAGTTGTCAAATATCCTTCTCAGAGTTTGAGTCCAAATCTGTAACTTCTGATGTAGAGGCTTCAAGTTGGGACCCAAGCACGAGTGTTCATCAATGTCCAAGTCCATTTATAGGAACTGCGTTATCAAGTTCTCAATTTGATAATGGCCTTGTGGACAATCCTGTTTTTGCCTATATTGTCTTAGAAAAAAAAGAGCCTGAATCGCACAGGAATACATGGACTCAGAAAATCCATGCAATTGAAAAGGGGTTGGTGGATGAGAAAATGAGCCAGGTAGAAGATTCACATTCTCTGGCTAAAAGCATATCAATCATTCAACGGAATGGAGGAAATCGTAGTTTGCCTTCCATAACTGAAAAATCGAGTGGAATTGAGAATATCATGAAAGAAGCTCCATTCCTCGAAGACAATGCTACAAAGGTTCAACCTGTGAATGTCCAAAAATTGCGCAGAAGGAGAACTCTATGTGGCAGAAGGAAAACCAATACTGTCAAAGCAGCTCCATGCCTCGAAGAAATTGGCACAAAGCATCGCCCTGTGAAGATCCAAAATTTGTGTCGAAGGAAAACTCTATATGGAAGAACCAAAGCCTCCAGATGCAGATACATTTCTAATCCATGTGTGAAGCCCCAACGAATGTCTTCAGTGATTGCTCAGTGCAAAAGTTACGCAATTTCTGGCAAGGATGTGGATAAAAGTGAACGTACTTCCTCCAAAAATCAAAATATTACTGAAACTGAAAATGGTTCTGAATTGGAAGAAAAAGCACCACTTGGAAAATACCGACTTGTCCGCAGAAGTGTTAGAAAAAGGAAAGTCAAGTATTGGGATGATTTTGCTACCTCATGTAGACCAGTTAGAACTCATCCTTGTCAATTTGAAGAATGTTGTCAAAAGGATAAATGTGGTGCACAATCTGGTGAGTATTTTAGAAGTCAAACATGAAGGTGAGCTTGAAGATGCTAAGGGTAAAGCAGCCTTTGCAACTGTTAGTAGCACGAAAACTGGTGGAGCTTCTTGCTTTGATGGGATGCGGAAAGTGAGACCAAGTTGATACATCAGCCAATGTTGGTGAAACATACTGGGGTTGCTCCAGAAATGGAGTTGGAGAATGAGAACTCTGTTCCCTCTGAGAGAGAAATGCCAAAGCATCTGAGTTGACCAAAAACTTCCTCAGTTCGCCTGACAGCAGCAACCCCCTTTTATACACATTCAGCAGGAAGCGCAAGAATGGGTCCTTGGTCAACCATGCTGAGAGCTGCAGCTTAAGGGAAGCTCTATGAAGAGAAGGTCCAGAGAGCAAAAAGATATTGAGCTTGTGGCAGATAGTAGTACTTTAGAAAATGAACCAACCAGTGACGCAGAGGACTGGTAAGGTTGCTCGTCAGGTTGGATTTAATTTCGTTGATGTGGTTTTTAAGTTATAGCTGGAATCGTATACAAGGATGCCTGAACCAAACATGCGGAATTTTGTATGAATGAAATAAGTAATGAGCATTTTGAATAAATCTAAGAAAAAGGAAAGAGTTATCAATAATAGTTGCAATATTAGTTTTAGGATTAACAGTTCTAGTTCTGCATTGTTGCTTGAGAAGTACTATAAAGTGATTTTTTTTCCCTACAAGGGGAGGGGTGGATTTAAGAAGTAAGGAGGGAAAGAGAATTTAACCCAAAATGTTTAATTCCTGAGGATTCAACCTTAGCCACTAGACTAAGGCCTTTTAGGCACTAGAATGTGATATCTTTGTAAGGGGAAGCAAATAATTTAAATCATTAGCTGCTCTTAAATTGCCAAATTTTCCTTCTGGATGTTCATGAATTCTTAGTAATTTTTGTTTTTCTCTACTTATGCAGCTTATTTCTTTATCTGGAAAGATGTGGTGGTAGTAGGGTTTGCTGTCATGGAGTGCAGGTGCAGCAGGTTGAGTAAGAAAATTGATGCGACACTTAACTGAAACCAAGCAAGAGGTCTCAAGATGCTTTGATACTACTAATACAAGGGCTGCATTGGAGTGGCAAAGAGCATGAGAAATGAGAACCGTTGTCTGTTTCCCCATTGCGATATTATAGCAAGTTGCTGCCATTAATTTAAACCTAGCTTTGGCTTCTTTTCCGCTGTAGTGCATAAGAGAGTACCGTTGTTACTTTATTGGGATCTACGCTCAGTGGTTTTGAGGTTTATTATCAGGCATCATGTTTTCTCACTAGAATGAGTCTGGCCTGCAGTAGCCATTCGAACAGTGTATAATTCTTAAAACAGGCTGAACGGCTACTTTATTGACCGCCTTGCTGCTTTAGTCATGAATATTCGTTTTGATGGTCAAGAGTGAGGAAGAGATGGCTGAGGTGTGCATGCACGAAAAGCGAACAATACTTGGATGTGTGCACCTTTTATTTTCCAATGCCTAGCTGCAGAGTCCCTGCATTTCACGTATTGCTAACTAATCCTGCTCCTTAATCCTCTGGCGCGAGTCATACCAAATTTCATAATGCTATCTTAATTATTTTAACTGAATTTCCAGCAATGCAGGAAATTGGCGAAGTGTTCCTGATATGTACTGTCAGGCAGGTGCAATAATTCTGGCCTGAATGGATATTCCAGTAAGTTCCCACTTTCTAAAGTGTGGAATTGCAAGCTCTGCTGAATTTTTAACTGTAGATGCAGATTTATTACTGTCGCACTTTTGACTATTGGTGATGAGGGCATCAAACATGCTTTTTCCCTTTGATTCTCTGTTCTTATCTTTTCTTCCAGGGGGAACGGGCCTGCCGGGTAGAAATGTATTATTGGTTTCTTTCGATTGGGCTTGTTGGACGCCAGGCCATTCACAATCACTATAACGTTTTATCCAGGCCCAAACTATAAAATACATTAGTACAAGCTATTAGTAGCGGTTACTTGAAGATGTTTCAGAAGAAAATGATGGGGGGAAAGCGTAATTAATCAATTAATCGTGTCAGAGACGTGGGGAGTCGATTTATGACTCTCAAAAACAATCAAACAAGGCGTGGTTCCGACCCGTGAAATGCCCCCACCCGCAAAATATCTCATCAGTCATGCATGAGTCATGACCCGGCAAAGAACGGATCTGCCCAAGTTTCGACATCACGAGCTCCATCATCCCGTCAGCCTTTCAAATTGCGGCAAACTCCGAATATGGCAGTCCCGGTCTTTATAGCATTTCGGTTTCACACACTACTGCTTTCTTTCCCATCTTGTCATCCCTGGTTTTTTGTCATGTCCTGATTTCGGCTTTATGAAGGAATCTATTCTCGGGTACAAACTCGATGGTCGCTCTCGTTGAATGGCGTACAAATTTCAGTTTGAACACTGGTACTAGTATTTCATTTTTCTAGTGAGCAAGACTCTCCGTAAAATCTTCTTATTTAACTATTCAATAAACGGAATATTTTGCTATATAGGTGGGTTTAGCCCATAATATCCCAGTGCCAAGGGCAGATGCACGCCTTTCCGGCTATTCTCCCATGAGAGATTAAGGAGGGAAAAAAAAAACTGAGAAATTAACAAGTATTTTAAAGCTGCAGGCTTTTTCAACCCAAGTTTTTTTTTTTTTTTTTTTTTAAAACAAAGGACAAAAATCCCAAGTCCTATGTTGGACGGAGCATCATGGAGGGGAAAAAAAAGAACAAGAGCGAGGCCTAAGTTGGAGCAATGATAAGGTCGAGGAGTGATGCTTTTTGAGTGCAGAGTGCAGAGAGAATGTTTTCTTGTCTGAGGGCAAACACAATCAGTAGTCACGTCTCTGATCATTGCAAAGGCTGGCGAGTCATTCTGCCTCCACTAACTTGCTACATAGTCGACCGGTGCTCATCAAGATAATAACCAAACATCAATCACGGGCCTCGACTCTTTTCTGATCATCATATAAGAAGGCTTCATTTTGTTGAGCATTTTGACCAAACCCATAACACTTGTCCGTTGGTCCCCAAACATAGAGGTTTTTATCCCTTTCTTTCAACGAGGATTTGAAGATGGAGGGAAGGAAGAAACAAGCCCAACTACAAGCAATGTGGTTCGCTGCTGGAACAGCTGCCATCATGGCATGCTTAGAACGCGCTGTTTTAGTATCAGTTGTGGAGCAATGGCGGGTTGTGGCCTTCCTTGCGCTCAACCTCTTGCTCTTGGCGATTCTGTTTACTTCCCCATCTCCTCTGGCTTCATCCAACGAGCCCTCGAGCCAGGAATTCAATGAAAATATGGATTCGAAGGTGGAATTAAGGAGCAACGAGAGGAAAGAAAGTGCAAGCAGAGGACCAATGCTGTCTGCGGCGGATGACCATCATGATCACGATGATGGAGCGGCAACCACTTGAGATTACTGAAATGCAGAATCAGAAGGGAAAAGGGACGCGTGGTTGAAAAGCAAAATTTGAAAGATACTATGGATCAAGCTCATGATGAGCTCTCCCAGGAGGAGTTGAATGAGAGAGTGGAGGCGTTTATTACAATGTTTAGGCAGCATTTGTATCTGATGCAAAGGGGAAAAGCTGCAGGGTCCACTCTTCATCCATTAAACGCAAAGCCATGTACAACAACTATTCTGGAAGCACCGGAAGGGGATTCTGAAGATTTTAGTAATTGTTTTGCTACGGATGATAGATGAATTCAAAGAAGTTGGTTTTGGTTCTCATCAGATTTAGAGCATCTTCTTGCCAGCCAACTGCCAACCATAGTCATTGGGAGACTTGTACCGATGGCCAAATCTTAGTCCGAAAATTAAGCTAGTCCTCCTCACATTGTTTAGTTCACTTCACAATTTCTTGTCATTCAAAACTTACGGAACAATTATTTATTTTTAGCAGTGTTTCTCCAAATGAGGAAGCTTTTGAGTTGAACATAGTATTCTCAGACAAGACGATCTGCAGCGCGAACTATAAGCTATATCAACAACTTGAACTAAATAATCTAGCAAAATTTAACAAATTCGCCGGATGTAGATGAAAAGGACGCACGTACTAGTAAAAATCTATGACATTAAAGAAGTGGGACAAGTCACTCTAATACAATTCTATCCATATCTATTCTGGTTTTAGATTGAATCGGCAAACTTCAAGATTAACCGTAGACCTATGAAATATATTTCGACCATTATTTGATATCCATGCACAAATTAGGTTTAACGATCGACCATTATCTGATATCATTATTTCATGTTCTAGTTTAAACCGGAAGAGATTTTAGTACCTAGGA